ATTAAATATTTAATTAATTGGTTAATTATTTGTTTAATGTCTGTCTTCCTGGATGGCCCATATGCCCATGCAGGGCAGGACCACTATCTTTCTTTTTCATTTGTTCTGCCTTCCACTGCTTAGCAAAGTGCTTGGCGCGTGTAGGCAGCTGATAACATGACTTGAATGAGGTGAAATGGCAACTAGACTAAGATGGAGTCTTTTCATCTATGCCAGGTTTTACAATCCTAAATTTCCCTTCATATTTTCCCTACAAACTTCCCACTATAGCCTGCACATCCCCGCGCCCTGCTGGTGTTGGCCTGCACCCCAAGGCCTTTAACTCCTGTGTGGCGACCCCATCATCACCCGCACACGGCTTGCATTGTCAGTCGTTCGCACCATTTTCCCCCAAAGAAGTAGATAATCTGTCAGGTTTTCCAATTATAATGATTCACTTTTATTATGATCAATATTGAAAGACACAAGGAGTTTATTTAACAGATTCAGAAGCTTAAAAGAAAGATTGGGATCTGTAAAACATCCAGGCAAACAAAAATAAGAATTCAGAACAGAAAAGAAATGAAAAGTGAGCATTTTGAAATAAGGCTCGCAGCATTTCTCACTAGTAGAGATGCTCCAGGACGTACTTGGTAATGTACTTGATTGCAAGCAACGTCTCCTCACAGGTTGCCTGGATCTGGGATTCTGGGAGGAGAAAGCCGTACTTGCCTGTATCCCGGAGCTCAAAGGTGAAGGAATATTTGATTCCTTGGTCATAAGCCCAGTCGTCAGAGCCCCCAGCAGCAGGATCTGAAATGTCCAAATAACAAAAAAAAAAAAAAAAATCCTTAAATCTAGGAAGGAGATTAAAAAAATCACGTTTCCTTTTATGATTACAAATGTTTCACCATGAAAATAATATGGGTAGGGCAATTTTGTAGTAAACTGGATCATAAAGAATATGGGGGTTGTTTTAAAAAAATTAGTCCAGTCTTACCTCTAAACATATTTTGCATAAGTACATGTTTAATACCCCAGAAAGTATGTAATTTGTAATGTAAAATTTATAGTGTGCTTGTATGCTATGATAAGCTACACTATATAGTGTATAATTTGCTTATAAAATATATACAATATCTGGAAGAAAATTTGTTATCTCCCAGGAAAATAAGGAAAGCTGCCCGATGAATGGTTAGAGGCAAGGACTCCAAACCCTGCTGAGACTATGCTGAATGATGAAATTGGAGCAGCTCGAGGGCAGAGTGGTGCCTTCCTTTTTGTATCTTCAGGGTGTAGCAAAGGGCCTGGCGCAGATCAGGCATTCATTCAGTTACTAATTCATTTAATAACAATTATGCTGTCACTAACACATGAAATATGTGCTCATTCATTCATTTGTTCATTCATTTATTTCTGCATTTATCTATTTATTCAGCCAACAGTTGTACAGCTCCCACTGAACAGCATGCCATGGGTTCAACTCTGGAGATGCCAGGACCAAGGGGAGACATTCCCTGCCCTCCTAGGGCTTACAGTACAATGAAAAAAGAAACCTCATTGAACTAGTCTGAATAAAACATACAGGAAGTCTGCAATACATAAATAGGTGGTTTATTTCTACGAGAACCCTCTCGAGAAGATAATATGCCCCATCTGATTCAGAGCAGTTTAAAACAAGGATGAGATACAGAAAATTGTATTCTACATAAAGCTTTTTAAAAAAAACCAACTACTCAGGATTGTAGCCCTCCCAACTGACTGAAGGCTCCTTGATGACAGTACTGGGTTTATTTTTCTTGTGTGTATTTCTATTCCTTTCAGACCTCAGGCAGAAAGAAATCATTTGAAGGCAATGGAAAATATAAGTAGAAATTGAAAAATGGGGTCAGTTGAGAGTGTCTTCACAGAGAAATCTGAACTCTGCAGCGTCTGCGGCTCTGGGGTCCAGCTCCTACCACCTCTTACTGTATGTCCCTTGCCACCTGCTTGCACACACTGAGGGACTAGTCAGAGAAACTGACATCTACCCCTCACAGGTGGCTTGTGCCTCACGTAGCCCTTGTACATGCAGTCTGTCTAGCCAGGAAAACACTTCTTATGCTTTCTTCCAGCACAGTCCTCCCAGATTAAGCTTCTGTGTCATCACCTTGAGAAGTTATCCCTTCTACTGTGGCTGGTCATTGGGTGCGTTCTTTTCTTGTATATCCCAAAGTCACAGTGCTTAGCAGCCGTATCACAATGACTGTTTACTTTTCTTGCTTCCCTGCTATGGGTTCTCTGAAGACTGCTCTGGTCTCCCTACTTCCCTTTCTCTTTCCTCTTCCCTGCTGTCCGTCCTTCCTTTCTTTTTCTCTTAGCACCTAGTGAGGGTCTGGCACACAGTAGATGCTCAATAGATGCTTACAGAGAGCAAACATTTCTGTGGGTTGAAAAGACTATGTTCTCTCTTTTTTTATGAACAGAAAACTGATCACATATTCCATAAAAAATTTACTGGAAGGCAAAAGCTGGAGGCTTTAAACAATCAGAAAAGAAAGGCT